TCGTAATAACCTTATATTACTGGTAATTTGAATGAGGTATTAGTCAAGTATCAAGGCTGTTGTATGCCCTTATTTTTATCCACCTTTGATCATACATATAACTGTCTCTTTCGGCAGAGAGCATTTAAAAATAAAGCATGTCATGATTTGCTTATAGCTTGACACAAGAAGAATTGTGTAACAATCTATGTTACGCATGCAGAGTGACAGCGAGAGATTTGACGGTAGGTCGTATTCATCACTAACAGTACATTGTCTCTACATGTTGCATTTTATGTTTAGTTCAAGGCACCAATACTACCAGATAGTAATGTCATGTAAGTGCTACATGACTTGTGAGTTTCATCTACTAGTGTAAATTTAATTTGGGTATGATATATTAATCATTTTTATAAATGAACTATATTTCAACTCTCTGTGCATAGCGCCCCCAAGGCTAGATTCTATGTCATTTGTAGAGAGGGCAAACTAGCATAGTTTTATGATTTTTAATGGAATCAAAACATCTGAATTTCTGTAATAATTTGATAAAATAAGTGTAACATATCTGTTGGTAAATTCTGAATGATGTATTTTTACAATTATTGTCTGCACTTGAAATGGGTAATGTTCGTGCTGGAATGGGAACAATTAAAACTGGTCTGGTAACTTTTTGTATTAGAGAATGAACTTAACATGTTTGAGCACTTTGGTGCAACATTTTGTCTTATCAAGATTTTTGAAAAAATATATTATTTATGTTTTAATTTGTAAACTGTGCCAAAAGTTGACTTTGGTTCTTGGGGTTAATGCAATGTTGAAAGTTATTGCTCTGGCGTCTGGTACAAAATTTTGAGAAATTTCTAACACTGAATAATTGAAGTAAGAATAATTTTAAATTTTATACACATATTTCAATTTTGTTTATTTACTCTAGGACACTGACAATCTACCAGGATTTATTATTGAAGAAGCAAGAAGAAGAATACGAAGGTAAATTGTTGTTTTTTATGAAAGTGTACATTTCTGCATGCATGATGATCTAATTTGCATAAATCCTCTAATTGTGTATGTGTGATGATTTAATTTGCATAAATCTTCCAATTGTGCATGTATGGTGATATAATTTGCGAAAATCCTCCAATAATGCTTATATGATGATATAGTTTGCATAAATCTTCCAATTTTGCATATATGGCAATATAATTTGCATAAATCTTCCAATTATGTATGTATGATTTAGTTTGCATAAATATTCTCCAATTATGCATGTATGGTAATATACTTTGCATAAATCCTCCAATTATGCATGAATGATGATATAGTTTGCATAAATCCTCCAATTATGCATATATGATATAGTTTGCATAAATCCTTCAATTATGCATATATGATATAATTTGCATAAATCCTCCAATTATGCATGTATGGTGATATAGTTTGCATAAATCCTTCAATTATGCATGTAAGATGATATCATTTGCATAAATCCTCCAAATATGCATGTATGATATAATTTGCATAAATCTTCCAATCATGTATGTATGGTGATATAATTTGCATACATTTTGCATAAATCCTCCAATTATGCATGTATGGTGATATAATTTGCATAAATCCTCCAATTCTGCATGTATGGTGATATAGTTTGCATAAAACCATCAATTATGCATATATGATATATTTTGTATAAATCTTCCAATTATGCATGTATGATATCATTTGCATAAATCTTCGAAATATGCATGTATGATATAATTTGCATAAATCCTCCAATTATGCATGTATGGTGATATAATTTGCATAAATCTTGCATAAATCCTCCAATTATGCATGTATGGTGATCTAATTTGCATAAATCTTCCAATCATGTATGTATGGTGATATAATTTGCATAAATTTTACATAAATCCTCTAATTATGCATGTATGGTGATATAATTTGCATAAATCTTCCAATCATGTATGTATGGTGATATAATTTGCATAAATTTTGCATAAATCCTCCAATTATGCATGTATGGTGATATAATTTGCATAAATCCTCCAATTATGCATGTATGGTGATATAATTTGCATAAATCATCCAATCATGTATGTATGGTGATATCATTTGCATAAATTTTGCATAAATCCTCCAATTATGCATGTATGGTGATATAATTTGCATAAATCCTCCAATTCTGCATGTATGGTGATATAGTTTGCATAAAACCATCAGTTATGCATATATGATATAGTATGCACAAATCTTCCAATTATGCATGTATGATATAATTTGCATAAATCCTCCAAATATGCATGTATGATATAATTTGCATAAATCCTCCAATTATGCATGTATGGTGATATAATTTGCATGAATCCTCCAATTCTGCATGTATGGTGATATAGTTTGCATAAAACCATCAGTTATGCATATATGATATAGTATGCACAAATCTTCCAATTATGCATGTATGATATAATTTGCATAAATCCTCCAAATATGCATGTATGATATAATTTGCATAAATCGTCCAATTATGCATGTATGGTGATATAGTTTGCATAAATCCTCCAATATGCATGTATGATATAGTTTGCATAAATCCTCCAAATATGCATGTATGATATAATTTGCATAAATCCTCTAATTATGCATGTATGAAGATATAATTTACATATGTTTTCCAGTTATGCATGTAAGATGAGGTAATTTGCATAAATCCTCCAATTATGCATGTTAGATGAGGTAATTTGCATGTATGATAATTTGTAATAGTCCTCCAATTATGCATTGAATATGCATATTAATATGAAAATTTGCATGTTTTCCTTGTAGTTACCCCATGAGATAACTTTATTTATGAATCTGCTTTATTCTCAGGTCTCAGATGAAGAAAGAATTTGAAGGATTTTTACTAGAAGAAGATTAATCATAGCAAATTTAAATAAAAGTTAGTTTTATTTTTTATTTATTAGTGGGAAATAAAGAAAAAACTAAAATGTTAATGATTGTCTTAATTGAACTGTACAGTTATTGAGTGTATGTGTCAGTAGACGGAAATTATTACAAATGACATAGCCCCTGCTGGTTATTTTGTAGGCTGGCCTTGGCAATTTTATGAGTTTTTTTTTTGGTCTGATGTGAAATTAATGAAACTGCTGCCACATTTGTAATTGGGGGAGGCAGGGGGGTTACTCATATTAAGTAGGTGAAGATCCAGGAACTGGTAATCAATCACATTGCTATATACTGATTCAAATCTAGAATTGAAAGCTTATGAATAGGGGACTGAATGAATCAAATGTTCCAGCTTTAGTTCAGAATTTAATCTTCTCAAATAAGTCATCTTCTTTAAAGTCTGCAGAACTCTTCTGAAGAACAAAAGAAAACTACTTGCTCAATGTTGTGGTCAAAACGATGGTAGCAGTGTGCCCTTTAAGCCAATACAATATGCTGTTGACGCACAACGATTAGCCGTGTTGCAACTAATTGCGCTAATTCACGAGCACCTCAATGACACAACAGAAAATCATACATTAATATACACTGAGCTCGAATAAAATTTTACCATCGTTATAGAATTTGTATTTTGGGGAAAATGGAATTTACATTTTTCAGACAAGTGTAAACACGAAGGGAATCGGGGACCAAAACACTTTTTTTTTATGCCTGAAGTCACCAATACAGTCACATATAATGTTATTAGTTATATTTCGGTCTCTGTCGCAATCGTCTTTAAAATCCATTCTTTGCGTAGTACTTTATATGGTACATACGCACATTCAGTTGTTTTAGAGATTCAATCCAAGATGGCTGACTGGCAGCCAATTTGATTTTGAAAATCTTGAAAGTGTTTTGACAGTTGTTGTTCAAATGTGGTATATACATTATACACATTTTTATTAAATTGTAAATTTCCCACCATAAACCTTGTGAGTATCACTGGGTAACATGCTGCCACATGCTGACAATACTGGAGACGTGCGCTTTACTGGAGTTTGAATACAAAAATTGCATGAATATGAGAAATAGCAAATAGAAATTTACGAGTCATTTAAAAAATCTGATTTTTGTTTACTCTATTATTACTGACCATGCACTACAAAGTAATTCAGAAACTATTTACATGGTCATATGACCAGTGATTTGCATATCCAACTTGATCGCATATATTATGTACTGATACTTGTCCACATTCATATTGTGATCAGATTCATCATACTTTATCTTAGGCATGAATAACAATTCGGGTTGTTGCAAGAGAACTGTGTAAGTTTTTTCTCTAAGACCAACCTACTGTCAACAAGCTAACTCTCTTTATTTACCATTTTGAATTGGAATCCCTAGTAAATCAGTCTTGTTGGAGGGCACAAAAGAACTAAGGCAAGATTCTAAATAATCCCCAAATTAAAACTACAAGTTTCTGAACTTCACATTAAGTTCCAAAACATTTTTTTGGCTCACAAGCAAATATGTGTGTATACGTTTTGACAAACCAAGGACGAGAACAGGGTTAATGGTGGTACAGTTAGACAATGTAAATGAATTGCCATTTAATGTGAAATAAACCAGTCATAGTTGTTGTACAATATAAATAGAAATAAATTACACCAAGCTAGAAAATAATAATGATAAGTCAAAATGAACAAAATTCTCACATTTGATACATGCCATACCCTAGGGCTTGCTTTCTGAGTTTCTGGATTATTATTTATATCTAAAAATCATATATTTTTTTTTTTAAATTATACCTCTTAACAAGCGACTATTCATGCGCTTCAATTAAACCTTCCGATCTCAAATTCATTTCCACGGCGACCAAGGGAAGGTAAATTTAACATAGAACTATTTTAAAAAGATAAAAAACAAGCAGGGTCGTTAAAAAGACATTCTGAATAATTATAAATAAATTCCACACCAGAACCACAATCCAAATAATGTGTAATGATACAACATATTTTTTTTACAAATTATCATGAGGAAACTCGCAAACCTGGCTACATTCCAGGAGTTAACACACAATACAACAATTTTTTTTTAAACTTTAACTTAATAATTTCTCTGTAAACATTGCAATATTTTAAAACTTGAAATGACAGTGAATGTAACTGTGTAGTTAGTTTTCTTTAAAAATTTCTCTTGAGTCATTGGTGTTTTTATCATCACCTATATACGTACAATTGCTTGATAAAATCACTTAGGGTATTCAAATAAGATTGCCAACAGAATTTTATATTTTGAATTTACACCTAAAGCCTCACTAGCAAAATGGCAAGTTAATATCCCAGTCAGCAAAAGTTAAAAAAAAAATATTTCTGTGACACCTCGTAGCAATTAGGTGTATATTAGTGAATATTAATTGGCAGTGTGTGATTTAATTTGTATCTTATTAATGAGCTGCATACATTAGATGCAATATCTGACCTTGCGGTAGTCGTCGCACTGCGCATGTGCCACATTTGTGTTGATAAACATTGATTTTCCCACAATCCAATGCACTCTTCAAATGCAATTCACAAGTATGAGGTTTGACCTAGGCGCGACTTGCACTGATTACCACCTTCGATGCCTTCCAATAACATGAAAATTACTTAATTAAAACTTGGAAACATCTCAGTTCGTACTTGTTGATCTGCGCAACAGTCAAAGTCGCCATTTTTGTTTATATGAAACCCATATATCTCGTACATGCGTAGTGCGACGACTAACGTGCTTTAAAGCCACATTTTTCTTCAGTTAAAATGTAGATTTTAGTATCAATACAAAAAGTTCTTATTGCAGGATGCAATAATGTGGGTCATTGAATATGGCAGATTTTCGATTCCTATTATTCACTGATTGGCTAGAGTTAGTAACAATAGTTTTTGTCTGATTTGGATGGCTTACATGTGCAAAGCAGGCAACCTCAAACTTCAGCGTCTGCACTGTGGCAGCTCATGTCATGCCACTGTCTGTGTGTCTGTACTACAAAACTGTTGATATAATCTCGGTGTCGCATGTTTCCATTTCAAAATACACATGATAAACAGCATGGTACATGAATTCAATGGTCGTAGACCTTACACGTATTAATAGACCATATTCGTAATAGGACGACAAGAGTGAGTGAGAGTCTAAAAACATTGTTTTTGTGCACTAAATAGTATTCCACCATCATCGAGCACATGTCACCAATGGTATTTTGAACAGTGGAGGCAATAATGTTAGAGAATGGAGCATTACTTATTGGACAAAAACAAGTCACGTGGCTTCCTCTTTCTCACTGTAATTTTGGCCATTTAGTTGATTACCTACGTTTTTACTTTGAATACTTTTTCATTCAAACCATTTAAAGACCCAAGATGACAATACTAAAAAGGTTAAAATGCACATATTTCATTGTAGTTAAATCAGCGAAACAAACTTTGTGTGCATAGCAGGCAGGAATACGTTACTTAAAACACTGAGTAATAAAAACACTAAAGTCACAGTGGAAGTAACATTTGGACTAGCTTGTTTGATAACCATACACAAGCATGCAATTTTAGCTTATAAAGCGGTCAAAATAGATTTGCAACATATTGTTTTTTAGCTTTGGATCACTGAATATAGTATCATATATAAAGACTTCCAGACTGTTTGTATTGCCGAATTAAATCAGGAAATTGACTTCCTACTATAACTGTTCTTCCGCAATAACGATTTTTAACTCAAAACTTAATATACAAGTTTCTTTCCAATTTAAAGTTATGTTTCACATGAAAACCATTTTACACATAGCAGTGCAATATAAAAGACATCATACACCAAGATCTCATTTTCGTCTGCCACAAAACTTTTAATAGCTTTATAACACTCTGTAGAACCCCATCTCTCCTGAAGGGCTTGGCACTCGCTCTCGTTGGTATACTCCAACTTAGCATTGGAATGACTGCGAATTAATGCTTTAGAAACCTGCAGGCCCTGGAAAGAGAATTAAATTTATGTATTTTAGAAAGTGATGAAATCACATGAGATAAATTCATAGAAATATATGGCCCTAAAGCGGAGGGGTCGCCACCTATGTACGATTCCCAATCAACGATGACAACACACGCTAAAAATGCAAAGGCTTGTCATGAGTAGATGCTTGTTTGTAAACAACGACATGTTATGCCCATAGACACACGCTCAGGTGATGACTCCCCCGCTTTAATTTTGATCCCTGGATTGCATGTGACTTAAGTGATCATCATTTTAAAAATAATAAACATTTTCTTTATTGTCAACCCTCGTAGAGATGGAAAAAAATAGACTTGCCTTCACTGATACAGCTGCCAAATTCTGTAGCCTTGGAATGACTTCTTGCATAAAACTGGTAGGCCAGAAAACCTGGGATACAAGTCCTTTTTGACACGCTTCTATAGCAGTTAATTTCTTACAGCCCAGTAGCATTTCATTGGCCTAAGAATGTACAGAAAATATCAATACTACTTTTAAATACACACACGCACACACACAGTGAACAGTTTCACACTAACTGACCACCTATGTGCACCTTTAAAAGTATATCATCTCTGTTCCTACCATGAATCTATGAAATGGTTTTCAGATTGTCCAATTTCACAGAGAAATTTGAGCTCCTAAGATAAATTCCTTTTTAGTTATGTAAATAATGTGCATTATTAGACACCAAGAAACATGCATGAAAAAGTTCACCAACTGATACAAGAGGCATCACAGGGGGCAGCATGGAATTTTTATGGATGTGTACACAACTAGTACAGTGCATTTCCTTTGGCAGACAATGTGTTTTTTCCCTATCCTCGGGGGCAGACATCCGGGCATTTTCTACCGCCTGGCAACCCTCGCGGTGAAAACAAAGACCAAAAACTTGCAGAAAACGGTACTTTGCGATGGTTGTTGAGAGTCCCCTGAACAGTGTAACAAGATTAGCCCTACGTGTGTAACATATATGAATTTGGTTGTTCAGGATTACTTCAAAGTTGAGTTTGTGTTGTTTTCTCGAGTTTTCACCGGCTCCACCGGCGTTCCACAGCAGCGCGCACAAAGCCCATAGAAATACGTGGTACAGTGGTGCGCGTCTTAGCAATGTAGAACGTCCGTGACGTAGCTCCGCCCCCGAGGATAAATATTATTTTACAGTGGTGGACAAGTGCACTACAAAACTTATAAGACAGTTTTCCATTGGCTATCTAACTCCACAATCACAATAAGAAAACAACTTGTTTGGTGACTTACGAAGTTTGAATCAAATAATGACAGAAATAATAGGATATTTATTTTCACTGCTATATTTACTTCGTTTTTTTAAGTTCATGAGATACGCAGCAAAAAATGAGTAATATTGTTATTTAAACATGGATTTAATCAGGGGCGCAACGCTCTGATACTCTCGGCTGGCTGAAATCTTTCTCAAATATATTTTTCTCTGTGAAAACTTCCCAGCAACACCAGCTGACAATGTGTCTGGACACCAAATACACTAAAATTACTCTAATAATATTTCAATAGTGATATACCGTTAAAACGGTGCAGAAACCTTTCGATATGGCGTTTCCAGGTCAATCTGCCTTTCCACACCTATCCCCCCGCTTGGTCACTCCGCTCCCTCGCCTCTGTGTGCTCCCTCTTGTTCATTTTTTCTAGAAAAACCCCTGTAGTGGTATTTCCTTATCAGTGAAATTAGCGACATAAAAACCCAGTGAATAATTAATGCGTTTAGAGCAGTTGAACTCACCATAGCAGGACCCATTATTAGAGGGAATGTATAAGAAGAGCAGCCTTCAGGAGTCTGTGCAAGCCTTGCATATGGTGTGTGGAAGAATGCCTTGTCACTGGCATATACTATATCACACAATGGCAGTATTGAAGCACCGAGTCCAACAGCTGGTCCGTTCACTGCAGCTACTAGTAATTTGGGAAACTTTATTATCGTGTAAATTAATTCCCTAAAAATACAACAAAACACATGCGTTAATTATTAATTAACCGGATATGAACCAAATCTGGATAATATCGTAAAATCTGTATTAGAAGCCGCATCTCAAATAGAAGTCGCACCAATTCTTTTTGAATAATCGAAAACCAAAAATTCATCATTTCCCATATGTGTAGGTGCACTAATAGAAATCGCACCCCCTCTCTATTACATTGTACCATTTTAATAGAAGCCGCGGTTTCTAATACAGATTTTACAGTAGTATAAATCAATTGTGTGTTTGTTTCATAGTGCATTTCATTGGTTGTAAATAACATGTAAAATTTTACATTTATTATAATTATCCATTTTTTCCAACTCTAATTTTCAATACAAAGATCATCTAGTCCACAATTATCTGAATTTTATCACAAACACACATGTGAGTACTTCAGACCGGTGAGTAAAGAATCAAACAAGAATAAAGGAAGCAACCTTAGAAAATTATATACTGTACATAAGTACAACTTAGATGGATAAAATCTATATCAAATGAATTAAGTTACCGTACCTTAAAGCATCGGTCATTTCCCTGGCAGTTTTCTTTTTTTGTTCGATTGGCCGATCAGCCAAGTAATTGAGATCAATCCCTGAGCAGAAGACACTCCCTGAGCCGCTAATCATGACGACCCGACTGTCATCATATGTAGCATTGCAAAGTGCATTTATTATCTCTTTACATACCTGGAATTAAAAATATAGTGAGCATATAGAAGCATTACTTAGTGTTTTCTGTGAGCCACATTTCCTTCAAATGTCATCATTTGAATTACTTTTCCTTCAACATCACATGTGAACATTTATATGTATAATAACAACTGTATAGTACAAAATCACACAGAAGAAACACTGGCTTTGCCCATTATAACACATGCTTTATAAACTCAGACAAGCATTGACAATGCACAGTCCTTGTGTTTTTTTCCCCACAAGTAAGTCTTAGTTTTCAGTACAATCACATGTCTGCTGAAGACTCCATGCATCATCTGTTTATCATTTTTAATCTAGTGGCACATACTGACAAAGAAACTAGCATAGATTTTACCGTATCGAAAAACTACAGTAAAATACTTTATTTTCGCCCAGAATTTATTTTCATATTTCCTGCTGAAGGGGATATTCAGGGGAAAAAAGTCCAGCGAATATACCTTTTTCCCAAAATTTTACATTCAACTCATCAAAAATAAGTGAAAATAAACTCTCTACAAAACAGCCAAAAAGTCTCTTCAGTCATAATTAATTCCAGCTAAAATAAAGTAGTTCACAGGAAATGACTATTTTTGTTGAAATCTAAAAAAAAATGATGTTCACATATAACAAAGTCATGTTCATCTACGATTTACTCATTTATAGAGATTTTAGACAAAATGATTCTTAAATTTGGCTGACAAATTTGATCAAATCACACAATACCACAACCTACAGTATACATACATCTTCGAGAAACATGTTTACGTAACAGAATTTAACAAATTTGTGGACTAAAATAGCTGTCAGTCAGCCATACTTGAACAAATGGTAATAAATTGATGTGTAAGTCATCCTACATGGTCAAGTTTGAATGTGATCGGTCAAAACATGTCTGGAAAATGGCTCTGGACAACGCATACATGGACAAGCAGAACCCAAATTAATAGTGCCTAATTTCGGACATTGTCCGAAACACGAATAAAAAAAATATATAATTTGGCTACTTTCTGACCAACAACAACTAGACAGACATTCCAACAATAAGGAATTACAACCAATCAGGTGATTCCAGACAAACAACTAATCAGGTGATGCCAGATAACAAACCAATTGGAAAATGACAAACAAAACCAATATGCTACTGGTCATATTCTCTAAAATTATATACACATATACAGACATGAAGTCTTGACAACAATTCTGAAATAATGACAAAGTATTTTGTGCTTAAAGCATAAAAAAAACTGCGCCATGTTTGAAGTGGGTCCCACAAAATGTGAATGTGTACTGAGCAATGATTATGTCGCTTTAAAACTACGGATTATATTTCAATCATCAAGGACCTCATGAGGCATTCCTTACCTGTGGGTTAATTGCATTTTTAACTGTTGTATTTGTGAATAACCATATTTGTGTGTATCCCGACGCTTTCTTAACAACGATCTCTTTATATTTATATACACTTTCACTTTGCCGCACACTGAGTCGCCTAAAATTCAAAACAATTTGGTCAAAAGACCATTGATCAATGGATTGACTAGTAAAACACGCTTGCGTAAACCACAATAGATGTTTCTGTCAATGTACCAGCATAAGTATTATAATTGTCAACTGAAAAAATAAGCATGTTGTTCACAATAGCCAGTAATTGTTGAGCCGTACATATTTATCAATACATTACTTCTTGGATCTAAGAGTTCCTGATAGAATTGTTGACTGTTATATAATTAACCAATACATCCAGAAAAATATGTTAACCTTTTTACCACCAGACTTTCAAATTTTCCTGTACATTTTTCTTAAATATTTCTGGAAATGAACCATGGTTTTGGAAGCAACAGACAAAATTTTCGGTAAATTTTCAGTTTATACTCAGAAAATTTCGCTATTTTTTGTCCCAATCTTTTAAAGGAAAGTGGAGACCTTAAATTGGACTATTTTGTGAATTTGTAATGAAAACAGGGAACTGGTGGCGAGAAGGTTAAGTTCCTTGATAAACTATCTATTGTTTTTAGTATATATAGTTTCATTAATATTGACAATACTGAGATATGGTTTAGGAATACAATGTTACTAGTTGACAAATTATTGACATGACTAAGCACCCGACCTGCAATAGTAAACTCAACTGACACCAGTTATGCAAATTAGATGATTAATATGCACAAATATTCACCCAAAAATAATCAGATCTCTGCATAGTTCGAGAATATCTATGTGCCAAGTTTCACTGAAATGTAATCATAAAATTAATTACCAAAAGCTGAAAATTGGTCAATTATGCAAATTAGGTAATTAATATGCACAGATATTAACCTAAACTATCTAAACTATCAAGTTTGTGTATAGTCCTACATTTATGTACCAAGTTCCATTGACATGTGATGATTAGTACTCGAAATATTGGAAAAGCCGGAAATTGACTAATCATTATGCAAATTAGGTAATTAATATGCACATATTTTTACCCAAAACTAATCAAATCTGTTCATTAGTACAGAGCATCTATGTACCAAGTTTTATCAAAATCTAATGAGTGGCTCTTTAGATATCAATGGAACAGTAATATGGAACAGCTAAACATTATCTAATTATCATGCAAATTAGGTAATTAATATGCATGTATTTTTACCAAAACCTAATCAACATGAACAAATCACAAAACAATTCGATTGCATCATTAACCCACAATTAATAATGATCGGTCAAAGCATCCCTTAGAAACTGCTGACATTACATGTTCAAATGTTGATTTTTTGGACAACAATGGTCACCAGTTGGTCATTTTAAAACAACTCACAAAACAAAATGTGCATTAGTAACCTGCCTTGATTAATGACAATGTTTGTTTGTTTGTTTTTTTTTTGGGGGGGGGGGATAAAATGGCTGCTTATTGGTCAAATGTCAATGAAATGAAAACAAATTGACATGCCTATGTATCCCATTATGACTTGTTTTTGTACCAACTTTGAACAAGACTGAACAAGGTGACCGAACTACCGGAACATGACCAAACTCCCGAAAACATTTGTCCTGTATTGGCATACCTTTCTAGTGGTTTTGAGTCATCATCACAGATCTCTGATAGTTTTCTTTTAAAAGTTCTCTCAGGCAGATGCTTCTTCGGTGTGGATCCCAGCAAAGATTTGTAGGAAGTTAGAGGTGAATTCCCGTAATATCCCAATTTACTTGGTGAATGCAGCCCTGAAGCAGCCTGAGATTCAGGCTTCTGTTTGGACAGAGGCGTCATTATTGATGGCCCTTTTGACCTTGCCGGGCTTCCTGTGTCGTTATATGATGCAGCATTGTTACATTCCATGCCATTATTACATGAAGAAAGTAACACTGTGCAATCTGTGAAATTTGAAACGAGATTGATGACATTTGAGATTATATGGCAGAAAGTACTAGTGAACGGCCAATTTGGGCTTGTGGCCGGCCTTATGGCCGGCGACAGTCTATTAATTAATGAATCGGGCTTTTTTTTTTTCTTTTTTTTATCCCCTGATAGAAAAAGGATATATATCTGTATTTAAGTGAAATAACTTACCCTTCTCCTTGCCATTGAATTTTGGACTCTCAGTTTTTTTGTTATTTCCTTGTTTACGTTTTTTATGTTTACTTTTATTATTAAAAGTGACAACTCCGTTGCTATCCGGCGAAGGTGTCTCCAAGTACATGGTGTCTGCCAATCGATATCTCACTCCCTCGTCATCAGAAGACAGGGAGGAAAGATCAAAATCACTCAGGGAGGAATCAGATGGCAACATCGCTGGTGATATTAAAACAACAGTATCAGCCTTTGTTTTCTTTTTCTTTGGAAAAATGTGGCGAACAGTTTCGTTTTTATGTTTAAGTTTGACATCACTTTTTTGTGATTTGGAATGCTTAGAAGATTTTTCAAGTTTGTTGGGCAATTTTTTTTTTTTGATCTTGGGTTTTTTGATAACGGTGGGCTTCCTGGAAGATTTATTAGTCTTTTTGTCATCTGTGTTCTTTTTGTCTGTGTTTGTGTTTTCATGCTGCATTCGTTTGTTGAATTCCTCAATGAAGACTATGCATGCGCCTAAATTTGATAAGGGTTCCCAAGAGTCATCGTCACTGGTATAATTCTTCCACCTGACTAGGTATTCTATTTTGCCCTTTTGACTCTCTCTTCTGGCCAGGATCTTTTCAACCTTTTTGGAAAAAATAAATCACAAAAAGTTATTGACTTTAAAAATTCAATTTGATAAACAAATGTCCTTTGTGATGGTAGTCATCAATATGGTTTACAAAAATACAACTGAACATGATTGTTTAATCAAACAAAAAAATCTTATATTATCTTAAATTATGGTATTTTACGGTTTTCTTATTTTATTTCTTACAAATATATGCAACATTTAACTACAGAAGCATGTTCCTCTTAACCACAGTCCCTCTATTATGATAGAGGGGCTGTGTTGTAACTAACTACTAAAACGATTAATTATTGACAAATTTGGATATGAATATTGTCACTGCTATATGTGCTAAAATATGCGCGGAAAGACTTTATTTATTTAATACAACCACAACAGCCATATAAGGCCAATAACAGTGGTGTGTTAGTAGACACATTTGTTAAATACAATACAACAGTAAGCAAAATTACAATTAGAAAATAATAGACTTAAGCTTCTGTTTTAAAGTAGACAATCCCAGATTAAAAATATCACAGTTTATGCTGTTATTAAAAAACCTAGGCAAACGACTTAAAAACCTGTTCTTCAATGCGTCCAAATGGTACAAAAAAAGAAACATTTTCCTAAAACTACGTGCAATATGTAAACTGAAAAAAGAATGTACCCTCACCCACACCCTAACTCAAACCCTAACCCCCCCCAATTCAGTTGTATATGCCCCTCTAGATAACTTTAGCTGTTCTCAAGAGGAGCATATAAAATTAATATGAGGGGGCAATAGAGGGTAGGGTTGAATTAAAGTTAGGATATTTTCCTATATACATGTGTAATAACTCAGTATTCCATTCTATAGGTCTATAGATTCAAGCCAATTTTTTTCTATCACCATTCTACTCACATTCCTACCGACAACTGACTGAGAACAGATTGTATATGGTCACTGGCCTTTAGTATCTCTTAATGTTTCACACCATGGCGACCTGACACACTTTGTACTAGTATGGTGACGTATTAAGATTAGGGTGTATATTGCAGAAACACATAAACAATAAGTCAAGTAGAAAAAAATGTTTGACCTCCAGTTCTGTATAGAAGGTTATATGCTGAAAAATCTTTATTTATTTATTTATAAATTTATTATTGTTGTTTACTAGAAATTTCAAATTTGATTTGATAATTTGAGGAACTTTGTGAGAATAGAAATTTGTAAAAATTACTGTGTGATATGGTCCGTCTTAATGATCCCAGTAAAGTTTTGAGATTTCCTCTGAGTCATAGGCAGAATAGTCTCTCATTAAATCGAAATGGTTTATTGTATGTAACATTTTATTTTAGTATACCGGTACATCAATTAGAGCCTGCAATTCTTTAACCTTTTCACCACCAGACTTTCTCACCCAAAGTTTTTCTGCACTTTTTTCTTATTTTTTTCAATATTCGTGGAAATGAATCCTAATTTTGGAGCCAACAGACACAATTTGGGTCAATTTTCAGTTTTCACTCAAAAAAATTCGCTATTTTTGTCCTAATCTTCTAAAGGAAAGTGCAGACTATAAACGAGACTCTTTTGTGAATTTGTCATGAAAAGAGGAAACTGGTGGTGAAAAGTGTTTGTGTTGTGTTTATACAACATGGTGGGGTATTGCTAATTAGAATAATTGGTTGTGAAATTCTTGTATTCCAGTTGATGATGTAATCCGGGGAGTGTAAGGCAGTTATTCATGCAGCTATTTCAAGGCCATCCAATTATATATGCACACACAATGACAATATAATGACATAAGATTCTGTATTGTTATAAAATAAAATAACAATACAATATTTATTTTAACTCCACCCACGGAAATAACTAATTTTAGTTAATGCTGTAGAATTTTTGGATAAATAATTATAAATTATAAACAAAAACGCAAAACTAAATAGAAAAATACACAACTGTGGAATAATTAAAAGCTTACCAGAAATCCAAAAAATAAAGATAAATCATTTATTAAATAGAATGCATTCTATATTTTTAACAGGCATTTCAATAACCATGATCTAATATGTAACATTTGCTATATTCTATTACCTACTTTATTTCCTTTTGTAGTAGTTCTCACAACTAATCTTTATAACTATTAACTGATAAAAATGTTGTATAAGAATGTAAATAAGACATTATTATTTATTTATCACGCAACAAACAGTCTTGCATCGATTATATTAATTATTTATCTCATTTTCAAGAATTAATTTAAGTTAAATATTAATTTACTTGTGAATATTTTATTTTCGCGGGGCAACTTTCCCAGAAAAGATCGAAACTTGCGAGCGCAAACAAGCTTGACGATTCGCAGTCAAACAAATCAAATCAACCAAACAATGTTATTAATACTGAAAGAAATATAGAAGAACTTAATGAATTGCCATTTATGTGTCCAAAATTGGAGCCTATAATTCTAGTATAACGTAACACCTCATATCACAACCAATGAATATTGTATAAAATTCACGTCAATCACAAAACGCCCTGGGAGCAAATTACGAACGAGATTAACACATACATGTTACATATGTATTGCATCGTTGCATTATTTGTCGTAATCCATGCACAAAAACAAATATAATTCGCATTCATTTGGCATTTTTCCTTGCAAAAATCTAGCCGTGTTTTTTTTCACTAAAAGCATAATTTCCAATCGATGTTTTGCACAGAGAAATCTACATAATAGACTATAGGACAATGTGAAAATGCAACACACATGATAAGCTCAAGAACACCGGTATCATTTGTCATTGCTTTCATCTCGGATTCTGCAGATCGCGGAAATCTAAGTATTCTCCGTAACAGATCGAATATCAATAGAAATTATCACATATATTGTACATACAATAACGAAATTTTAAAACAGAAAAAAATCGATTAGAAAGCTTACTTCGTAAACTTCGGGGGAAGCCGCCATTTTCCCCTATGGAGAGTGTATAGACAATACTGCGCAAGCGCACAAAAGGTGGTAAGAACTGCGCATGCCCCGTAGAAAAAATGGCGTTTTGCAGACGAATTGGTGTTTTAGCGTTTGATTCAGTTGTTATGAAAACCTCCAGGTAAGGCATTGCTATTTACGTAATTCTGTTCAGCATTCTCATTTGTAAGTGTTTATAGTATTTATTTAAAAAGTAGTATCAGAATACCGCATTTATATGGCGTCATTAAACAAATGTTTAGTAAAAAACACTTCCATGATGATACTACGTGTGGTGTACTTTCCAAAAAGTACACAACAACATTGAAAAACTGTTAAAAGCAATTATATCTTGCATTCATTTCTTTAATAGTATATAACAAGGTATGAAGTTTTAATGTGCCTACGAAATGCCCACCTACATATTGATGGGCACAGATCTAGAAGCAGTACCTACACACGAATTGGTGACGTCATAAAATACATGACCTTCAATCGGGGTCGTTTCCTCGGTATATACGAATTGGTATATACAAATTACAATAAAGATACTTAAGACATTACACATAAGGTAAAACAAATCACGTGACAATATAATGATAATAACGGTAATAAATCCTAGCTTAACAGTTGAAGAGAACGCTCATATAGTCAGTCGGGTGACGCCGAGGGTCACGAACTGTGTTGCAAAATGGCCGTGTGGTTGAAACTGGGTCATGGCGTGACGGGTGAGGAAGACATCATT